ATAATAATAATAATAATAATAATAATAATAATAATAATAATAATAATAATAATAATAATAAAGTTGGAAGGGACCTTGGAGGTCATCGAGTCCAACCCCCTGCTCAGGCAGGAAACCCTACACCATTTCAGACAAATGGCTGTCCAGTCTCTTCTTAAAAACTTCCAGTGTTGGAGCATTCACAACTTCTGGAGGCAGATTGTTCCACTGGTTAATTGTTCTAACTGTCAGGAAGTTTCTCCTTAGTTCTAAGTTGCTTCTCTTCTTGGTTAGTTTCCATCCGTTGCTTCTTGTCCTGCCTTCAGGCGCTTTGGAGAATAGCTTGACTCCCTCTTCTTTGGGGCAGCCCCTGAGATACTGGAAGGCTGCTATCATGTCCCCCCTCGTCCTTCTCTTCATTAAACTAGACATGCCCAATTCCAGCAACCGTTCCTTATATGCTTTAGCCTCCAGTCCCCTAATCATCTTTGTTGCTCTTCTCTGTACTGTTTCTTGAGTCTCAACATCTTTTTTACATCGTGGTGACCAAAACTGGATGCAGTATTCCAAGTGTGGCCTTACCAAGGCCTTGTAAAGTGGTATTAATACTTCACGTGATCTTGATTCTATCCCTCTGTTAATGCAGCCCAGCACTGTGTTGGCTTTTTTGGAAGCTGCAGCACACAGCTGGCTCACATTTAAGGGATTGTCCACCAGGACTCCGAGGTCCCTCTCACAGTTACTACTATTGAGCAAGGTACCCCCTATACTATACCTGTCCATTTGGTTTTTCTTGCCTAAATGTAGAACCTTGCTTTTTGCACCATTGGATTTCATTTTGTTAGACAGCACCCAGTGTTCAAGTCTGTCCAGATCCTCCTGTATCCTAAGCCTGTCTTCTGGAGGGTTGGCGATTCCTGCCAGCTTGGTGTCATCTGCAAATTTGATGAGTTCCCCATCTATCCCCTCGTCCAGATCGTTGATGAAGATGTTGAAGAGCACTGGGCCTAGAACAGAGCCCTGGGGCTGGCTGCAAGGCCCAATCAAGCCGAGGAGCCCAGGAACCAGACAGTCCCCAACCTTCCCAATCCCTCTAAAGGTCTGTCTCGGGGGTAAGGAGCCAAGGTAGGGGGGAGTGAGCCAGCTCCTAGCGGACCCCCGCCATCACATGGCCAGGACAGGAGCACCACCCAGTGGTTGGTGCATACAGCCCTGTCACTTCCAAACACTACGTGCTCGCTACTCTGGCGAACTCTGCTGGGGCAACGGCGCGCGTGCCCAGAGAGAGGGCTCTGAGTGCCAGCTCTGGCATGCGTGCCAGGGGTTCGCCACCACTGTCCCAGGTTGCTTCTCTCCTTGGTTAGTTTCCGTCCATTGCTTCTTGTAACCAGGAAACCCAACTGCCCTAGTCCATCCGGCCCAATCCCCAGGGGTGAATCCGCCGTGGAAACAGGGTTGATAAGGCGCCGTTCCCAAGGCTGTTAGCTCCTCACTGCCTCTTCTTCTTCAGTTAGAGATATGGCCGACGGTGGGAGGCACATTCCATTGGCACCCGAGGCCAGCACCAAGGGCAATCGATCAAATAGCCAACCCTCCAGAAGACAGGCTTAGGATACAGGAGGATCTGGACAGACTTGTACACTGGGCGCTGTCTAACAAAATGAAATTCAACGG